GGGCCTGTATGTACAGTGCAAGTGTGATAACCAAACTACACGTCTGGCTCCTGCTTATGCTTGCAAGTGCTGTTGTGTTACTCTTGAGAGACTGTGTCCTGAAGGAAGAACTCAGCATGGAGGAAATGAGAAGGCTTTACAGCTAGCATGGAAACCCCAATCTCTTGTGCTGACTAAGCGCAGAGAGCACGTGGGGAGAGTGCAGCGGTTGATAGTCTAGGCCTGGTGCAGGTGTTCCTCCTCATTGACTCTGGTTTGGTTTCGATTGTGATTTGTTGTGACTCGGTTGAAAGCAGTGCCTCATACATGCTAGGCAGATGCTGTACCCCCGAGCAACATCTGCTCAGGAAGCTGGAAAGTAAAGAATAGAAACCATCATTTAGTTGTAAGGCCCTCTCATTTTATCAACAGGAAAATGTGTCCTTATGTTCTCAGGCATATTTTCCTTCCCATGTCACTGATCCCAGTTGTGCTGTGTGAACACCCCCTGACTGCTAGGATTCACAGGAGTTTATCAAGCAAAGGCACTGGGTTACTATGATGGGTTGAGACCCTGATTCATCTCCTGGACCTGGCTTCCCCTAGTCAAAGCATCTCTGCCAGTTATTCCACACAAACAGTGCTGTGAGAGTATACAAAGGAATGGCTGCCCGGTAGGAAGGAACAGTGTCTGTCATGCATCTGGAGTGAGTCCTCACTGGTCGTGAGAGGGCTTGGAGCATTGTTAGAATTCCTGATACAGCAGCTTTGCTGTGAAAGTTTAATGGTGTCAGTGACCAACATTCCACTCACAGAGCTCCCTTGTGCCAGTTAGAGGCTGGGCTGCAGATACAAGCTGAGGTGTTGTTAGCACATAGGTAAAGTGTACATAGGAAAAGATGTACTGTCTTGAACAAAACAGCTAAAATGAAACCAGTGGTGATAGATAACACACACCTGTGGTCATAGTTCCTACGAGATAGGGCTTGGTGGGAGATTCAGTCTAGAGGGCCTCATGTCACGTTTGAGGTCGGTCTGAGTATGAAACCTCATTTAAAAAAAAAAAAAAAGTTGCCAGGCAGTGGTAGCGCACACCTTTAATCCCAGCACTTGGAGGCAGAGGCAGGTGGATTTCTAAGTGACACCAGCCTGGTCTACAAAGCAATTTTCAGGACACACAGAAACCCTGTTTCGAAAAAACAAACGAAAGAAAGTAAACAACACCCACCATGGCACAATGGTAATGTCAGAATTTTTAAAATCTGATATTATAAAATGCCTAGTCTGTAAGCAGAGTTTTCTTTTTCTTTTTCTTTTTTATTAGTTCAAGTTAGGGAACAAGCTTGTTTCACATGTAAGTCCCTTCTCCCTCTCCCTCCCCTCACCCCCACAGAGTTTTCTTTTTAAGTAGCCCGTTTCTAAGAGTAATTATAGATCCATAGCAAAATTGAGCAGAAGGACGACAAAAAAAAAAAAATCTCATAACCCCCTGCCCCTTCTGCAAAGCCGCCTCTGCTGTCAGCATCCCTCCCAGAGAGGGAGTGTGTTACAGCTGCCCCTAGACGGGTGTATTGTAATCACCTGAGTCCTGAGACTTGCAGCACAGTGGAGCCTGGATCGGGGAATGAGGTTTGGTTTGGGAGGGAGGAAAGATAGATAACTCAGGACCGTCTCATCTTTGCTTGTCTTCCTATGTGTTTGATACTGTCCTTTAAACATCCTCAGTTCTCAGCTTTGTTTCAACAAGCAAACAAACCCAACTGTGGAGCTGTGAACAGGTAGGTGGGCCAACAAGGATGGAGTCCGTCCACACCAACTGTTGAGCCCCAGTAGGCCGGCAGAGACTCACGTGTACCCTTGTGTATCAGTTCAATGCCAAAGAAAATAATCTTCCCTGGTGTATCTTCCAGAGTTGGCCCAAAGAATGTTTCACTGATATCCAAAATTTTTCTACTAACCTGCAAACACGACTTTGGGGATTTCAGCTCTTTACTTTTGCAGCACATAGGATTTGGGATATAATTTAAACCCATCTATAATTCTCTGTTCTCCTGTTAGCCTTATTAACTGATAACATTCCTCTACCAGCTCTTAGTCAGAAGAACCTAGTGGTCTTTTTCTGTCTCTGTTTACTTCTCTATACTATAATTATTACCTATTGTGGACATATTTATTCTGTGCCATTCTGTGTTTATAAATGCATTACATACACTAACTGCTGTAATTGTCACAGAACACAGTAAGGTTTATCGCTTGGTGGATGAGCAAACTAAAGCCCAGAGAGAATACATGCCCTCATTTGAATGAGTTGTGGGAGCGGATGGTGAAGTGGTGCAAAGCCAGTTGTGCAGTGTTCCTGGCTATCCTGACTTGAAGTAATTAGTTTTTGATAGTTCATTTCGTTTAAGTAGAAAGTTCACAGGAGTCCATTTCATCCGATGGGCTGTGTGTCTCTTCTGCTTCTCTGTGTGTGTCTATCGAAGGCCTTTTAATCCCTAAAGCACAGATAATGTCATTGTTAGCGAAGTCTGTAAGGAAATCTATTAGCTGTTTCCTCAAGAGAGAAGTGTGTTCACTTTTGTGTTTGTATCTATTGAAGCTCCAGAGGGAACTGGCCTCATAGGAAGCAGTAGTTAGAGTGTGGAGCTCAGTGCCCAGAAATAGAACTCTCCTTTGCCCCCTCCATCATTACAGAGACCTTAAAGAAGTAAAACCCTGTCATCCAGTACTCAGGACTGATTTTATACTCTGAAATCCTTCTGGATATCTGCCTTTGTCAGCACACACAAACACATCTTTTCTTTGCTTGCCTGTTTTGTTTTAACACAAAATTAGAATGTTTTATACTCAGCAATGTATCTTGGACATCTTTGTCATTGTCCTTTATAAAGTCTTCAGAATATTTAAAATGTGTTTAAATGGATCCTTCCCCTTTAAAAATGTGTTGTGTGGAGCTTCTATAATATTTTAATTTAATGAAGTAGAGTGCATTTTGATTCCACTCTGCCTCTTTGACCTTCATTTTCATACATGTGCACACATGCGGTAGTGTGTCAGGTGTACTGGAGCATCCCTGCCGTCCCAGCACTTGGGAGGCGGAGGCAGGAGGATGAGCAGTCCAAGGCCAGTCTCAGTTATGTGGCCATATCTTTGCTGTTTCTGACTAGCTCTTTTAAATTACTTTGTTTCTCTTTATCTACCTTTTGCCTCAGGGTTTTTTCAACCTTCTTTCCTTCTGTATATCTTACTTTCATTGCTGCTTGTGGCTGGCTGGGGGCTTCTTGCCCCTCTCTTTCTCCTCCCCCCCTTTCTGTTTTGAGCCTAGATTTCTCCTACTTATTCTGTCTGCCAGCCTCCTCCCACCCACCTCTGCCTTGCTATTGGCCATTCAGCTCTTTATTAGACCAGTCAGATGCCTGAGGCAGGCAAGGTGAAACAAATGCAACACTAACTTTACATAACTAGTAAACTACAACACTAGTCTTTACATAACTAAACAGATGCAGTACAAATGTAACACACCTTTACAACATTAACAAAGGCAGCAGTAACAAATGGAACACATCTTTACACAGTTAAAGTAATATTCATCAGCAGAAACAAATGTAACACACCTTTACACAGTTAAATATCCCACAACACTACTGGGACTTACTTTCTTAGAAATGAGTAGAGTAGTGCTGTGAAGGCTGGAAATCTGAAATGATGGCTGTCAAGTTTGGCTCTCCATTGGCGTCAACCACACAATTTTCTTTTTTAAAAAAGAAAAATCTTAAAAAAAAATATCTTAGTGTGTTTGGGGTATATGTGTTGGGGAGTAGCACATGCTTGCCATGGTATTCCTGTGGGTGGTCAGAGGACAATGTCAGGTGTCAGACCTTGCCTTCTTCATTGTTTATAAGGTGGGATCTCTCGTTTCCCACAGTGTGCAGCTAGAAAGCTGTCCACTGAACTGTGGAGGATTGTTTCTGTCTCCCATCTGCTATAGCAGTGCTGAGGTCAGACACACTTTACTGACTGGCTTTACATGGGTTCTGGGGATCTGACACAGGTCCTCACTTGTGCTTTACCCACTGAGCCACCCTCCAAGCCCTCTTTTAACTATCATTATTTTTGGAAACAACAGTTTGGCTTGATACTTGTGACTCTCCTGCCTTCACCTTCCAATGACAGTATTGGTATGACAGGTGTGTGACATCACACCTGACTCCTGTACTTTCCGAGGGCACGTGGCTGCCCTCTACCTTCTGAGTCTGAATCAATAGTTCTCAAGAATTCCTTCTAGACATAGTGTTTTACCAGCTCCAGGTGAGTGTAGATGGTCGTCAGAGGTTTGGGAGCCAGCAGACTGGAACACTAACTCAGACCATCAGCCTTTCACGTCTGCCTGAGTATGTAGGGAGGATAGACCGGTCTTCTGGAGATTCAGACATTGAGACGCTGACCTTTTCTCTAGTCTTTCTGCTCTGTCCAAGTTTGTGGGCTTTGGCTTTTTCTAGTAAAGGACAAGGTCTGAGTGGTATCTTCCAAAAACAAGGTTGCAAACCTCCCATTGTACCTAAATTAATTAGTAAATATTAACTGTCCACCTTGTACCTGATATTTTGCTAGGTGCTGTCCAGCCTGGTGGTGAATTGTTTTTCTAATTAGGAAAATGACATGCTACAGTATAGTAAACGCGGGCTTTGGAGGTGGTCCTGGGTAAAAACCCACCTCTGCTACTTGTAGCACATGCTATTTCTCTTCTCTAAGCTACAGTTTCTTCCTCTGAAAGAGAAAACAAGAAAAGTTATCCCATGGGCTATTATGAAGGTTTCATTTATTTTTATTGTTTTTGACAGGGTCTCCTTCTGTAGCCCTGGCTGTCCTGGGACTCACAGATATCCTCCTGCCTCTGTCTCCTGAGAGCTGGAGTTAAATTTGCTATGGTTCATACATTTGCCTGATGTTGGAGAGTGGGCTGTGAAGGAATAATGAATCTCACTAATTGACAATGTATTTTCTTTTGTGTTGCTTTTCAGAATGAAAGCCATTGAGAGTCCCAACAAAGATGATGACACCCAGTGGCTGACATACTGGGTGGTGTACGGCGTGTTCAGTATTGCAGAATTCTTTTCTGACCTCTTCTTGTCCTGGTTCCCCTTCTACTACATGCTGAAGGTACAGTGTCTTCTAAACGGCTGCTTCCCTTCACATCTGTGTCTCCTTTGCCCCACCCCCCAGTCTCTCAGACTCCACCTTAGGGCCCTTATACCAGGAATAGGAGGAGTAAGGGCTTAGGTGTTGAATACAGTGGTTCTTGTCTCTGATTGCAGCCAAGAAGGCAGGATTCATTTCTCCCTTTGTTTAAGTCCTTGGAAGAGCCTGGGAAGTTTGTGTTGAAAGATGTGTTTGGTAATTGCAGGGAATGGAAGCACTATGGCTTGAAACAGGTGTTGCCGTTAATCTTCATGCAGCGGAGACGTGTGATGCAGCAATGAAGCACTAGCATGTATTCGGCATTCATAGTGGTGAATGGAGTCGTTATTAGGGGGAAACATGTAATTCCCATGATAGACTTGGAGAAGAAAATGTTCAGTTGGTTGAGAAAGTCATCTTGGTAACTTTGGCTGGTGCAGTAGTCAGAGCTCAGCCCCGCCAAACCTTGTTTTTGGCACAGGACTAGCCTAGTCTGCCAACATTTGGGGAAAAAGACAGGAAACTGAAACTCATAGCTGGATCTCTGTAAGCTTCTGGGTTGCACCAGAGGTGAATGAGGGGAAGAAAGTTGTTGGTTTTGTGGGTATGGTAGTTCTTTTTCACTGAACGGACAGGCTGTCCTCAGATGGTTCTCCAGGTGTCTTCACAGAAGAGGCCCTGCTTCCAGTCAGTGGATGTGCTGTAACTAATGCCTCTGCTTCCCAGATCTGCAGACTTGCAAGCTAGAGAAGGCAGGAATCCTCTAGGCTATCCTCTTTCCTGTCTTACTGTATCCATTTTAATGCAAAGTACACATGGAATAGTTTAAAGGTTCAAGTCGTTCTAAAAGATTTTGAAAAAAAATCTGTTCTGCACTTTACTTAACACAACCATTGTTAGAGCTGGAGAGAAGGCTCAGTGGTTGAGAGCATTTGCTGAACTTGCAGAGGATCCAAGTTTAATCCCCAGCATCCACAAAGCTGTTTACAACTGTCTGTAACTCCAGTTCCAGGGGATCTGATGCCTCTTCTGGCCTCCATGGATACCAGGCACACATAAGCTGAACACACATATACATAATATGAGTAAATTTTTTGATTGTTTTGTTTTTTCAAGACAGGATTTCTCTGTGTAGCAGCCATGAATGTCCTGGAACTCGCTTGGCAGACCAGGCTGGCCTTGAACTCACAGAGATCCACCTGCCTCTGCCTCCCAAGTGCTGGGCTCTTATTTCAATTTTATTTTACTTGTATGAGTGTGTGTGAGTGTGCACTTGTGAAGGTCAGAGGACACTGTCAGGAGTTGGTTCTTTCCTTCTATATGGGTCCAGCAGTCGTCAGTCAAGCTCTGCCACTAGGGCTTGCACAGCCATCTCACTTTGAACTGGAAACATCTGGTGTAAAATTCTGCATCAGTCAGTTGTGGTTTTGCTCCTAACAGAGTCTGTGGCTGATTATGTTATTTTTCTTTAGAAACAGTGTACTCATCAAGTATCTTAGTATTTTGGTCTGAAAACCAATTTTCCTCCAAGGGATTCATAAACTCTGTCCAGCCGTGGAATAAAGACCACACCCATTTATGCTAGAGTTGGGGTGTGAGAGTCAGTTCTAGCTTGGGGAGGCTGGGGCAGCAGAAGAAACAGTAAATGAAAGACTCTCCCCTCCATCTTCCCCTTCCCACCCTCAAAGATGCCTCTAAGTTGTATCAGCCAGAGCCTGAGGAGTGGGAAAACATAGCCTCCCCCTTTCCCTCAGAACCTCACAGTTCTCCAGTTGCATTTTTTTTTTGTTTTAAACTTTGAGGTCTGGAAACAAAGATTGCAAAAGTCACAAAAAAGATTTGATAAATTTGGCTAAATAAACATTTTAAGAACTCTATATGACAACAGGTAGCATAAAACTGTATCAAAATAATGACAGACCAGGTGGATATATTTACGACATCGATATCAAATAAGGAACCAATATACAAAATACATATACATTTCTGTAAGTGAAGAAACAGCAAGAGTTTTTATATAGATATTTAATCAAAAAGAAAAAAGATGGTGAATATAAGTGTCCAGGAAACACCTCCCCAGTGATGTGGGGCATGGGGTGTCTTAGTTAAAACACTGGCCAAAAGCAACCTGGAGAGAGACCTCAAATTATTGTTCACAGCCTGAACAATTGATTTTTTAATTTATTTTTTGAATAGTTTATTTTAAATTTAGCATGTCACCTTTTTGTGACTATATTTCAGAGGCTTTCCAAAATCTAAATTTACTTATTTTCTTCCTTCCTTCCTTATACAAGTCTATATAAAGCCATTTCATACAAAGTATATATTGTATTTTGAACATATTTCCCCTATTTTATTCTCCAGACAGCTTTTCTTCTACTTTCATGGCATCAGAACATAAATGATAGACTTAAGTTTCTGATCAGTTCATTGTAGGAAAAGAAGACACATACCCCCCTCCCCCGTGTGTGTGTGTGTGTGTGTGTGTGTTTCTGGGAATTGAACCCTGGACCTGGTGAATTTTATACAAGCACTGTATCACTGAGCTACACCTTCAGACCTTGAAATACATTTTCTCTGGCATTAGTTTTAATAAACTTCTTGCCTGGATGGTTCCTGACTATAAGTTTGTATCCCTGATCTTGGGTGGTGATAGCTTTGGAGCTACAGACATAGTTATCTGGCTTGTCATATATGGGCCCATTGTGTCGGTGCCAATGTCACAGTAGCTAGTTAAAGCAGTGTGTGCCCTTTGTCTGAACTATGGGCTTGTGTGGTTGTCTCTGGGAGAAGTATCAGCTGGCACTTTGAGGAGACCCTGATGAAAAATGAGGTCACATCTGTGTGAGAAATTTTTCTATGTAAGGTGGAGTTTTGAAAGCTGATAGCTGGGTATTGCCTTGAGAGTTGAACAGTAATTAACCTTATTTTTAATATGAGAACTGGAAAATGCTGAGAATGTAGGTAGAGAGCAGTAATTATTTTATTGTCTCAAGACAGTAGCTAAAGGGTACCAGGAAGTACCAAGTGGATAATCGGTTGTGTATTCTACAGAGTAATCACACTGAGGACAGAACTGGAGACACTTGACTCTGGTCCCATCTGTTAGCCTTACCTCTTAATTCATGTAGAAAGGAGAATCTGTCTGGCTGGATTTCTCACAAGTGGTGTCTCTGTAGGTGGATAGCTTTTCAGAGGGTTCCACCAATAGTGAGAACTTTAGATGATACTGTTGCTCTACTGCTAGCTGATAAAAAAACATCATGGGGCTAGAGAGATGGCTTAGCAGCTAAGAGCACTTTCTCCTCCTCCAGAGGACCCAGGTTCAATTCCCAGAATCTACATGGTGACTCACAACCATTCATAACTCCAGTTCCAGAAGTATATGACCTCTGTGGGCACATATGTCACAATACATATTTGCAGCTAAAGAATTTATACACATAAATAAATAAATGTAAAAAAACATAAAAAGCAGATCATGATTTTCCTAAAATCCTACAAAACAGAAAAAGGACCCAAACATGCTGAATTGCCTAAACTCATGAGAAAGGCTTCTTTCGATTCTTAGTTTGGTGAGTCATTTGCACCTCACCTTGATGCCTTCAGAGACAGAAGTGAGTATCTGTCTCTCCATGGATAATTTATTTCTGAAAATCAGTCATACTGTGTAAAAATACTAGCCAGAAACACATCCCTCTTCTTTCTTTGAAGTTTTGCTATTTTGCCCATGCTGACCTGTAGACAAACTATTCTTTCCTGCTACTAGTTCCCAAATAACCAACACTGAGATTCAATATTAATTATAAATGCTCAGCCAATAACTCAGGCTTCTTACTAAGTAGCTCTTACAACTTGACCCCATTTCTATTAATCTGTGTGTTGCTGTGTGACTCGTGGTTTGACCCCCAGCATGACTTGCCACCTCTGCATATCTTGACGACTCCTCAGACTCCGCCCTTCTTCCCAGAATTCTCCTAGTCTGGCTCTCCGGCCCAATCTCTCCTGCCTAGCTATATAGGCCAGTCAACTTCTTTGTTAAACCGGTCACAGTGACATATATTCACACAGTATAAAGGAATATTCCACACTGACAAAACCTTGTATGTTAAAAGTGTTCCTCAGCCTGCTGCTTGTGTGTCTGTGTGTAGGGTGTCTGCTCACCTGCATGTGTTCACCCCACACACACATACATACACACACCAGCCTTTTACATGGTACTGGGGATCTAAACACGGGTCCTCATGCTTGTTCGGCAAGCCATCCCCCAGCCCCTTGTTTACCGGTTTTTATTAGTAGGTACTCATTTTAAGAAAAAGCTTTCAGCTGACAAGATGATGGATGTAGTGGGTAACAGTGCTTGCTCTGCAAGCCTGGTAACCTGAACTTGACTCAGAAAACTCACAGTGGAGGGAGACAATTGATTCCTGGAAGTTGGCCTTTAATCTCCACATGTGCACCTGCGCTCACACAAGTGCACCATATTTCTTTTTTTATTTAAATTAGAAACAATCTTATTTTACATATCAATCCCAGTTCCTTCTACTCCTCTTGTCCCCTCCCCACCAACCCCCTATCCCATCCACCATCTGCGCCCCAGGGAGGGTGAGGCCTTCCATGGGGGATGATCAAAATCTGTCACATCATTTGGGGCAGGACCTAGGCCCTCTCCTGTGTGTCTAGGCTGAGAGAGTATCCCTCTATGGGGAATGGGCTCCCAAAGCCCATTGATATACTAGGGTTAAATACTGTTCCACTACCAGAGGCCCCAAGACTGCCCAGGTCTCCTAACTGACACCCATGTGCAGGGGGCCTGGTTCAGTCCTATGCTGGTTTCCCAGCTGTCAGTCTTGGGTCCATGAGCTCCCCCCTTGTTCAGGTCAGCTGTTTCTGTGAGTTTCTCCAGCCTGATCTTGACCCCTTTGCTCATGGCTCCTCCCTCTCTACAACTGGACTCCAGGAGTTTAGCTCAGTGCTTAGTTGTGGGTATCTGTTTTTACTTCCATCAGCTGCTGGATGAAGGCTCTAGGATGGCACATGAGTTCACCATCAATCTCATTACAAGGGGAGGGCATTTAAGGTAGTCTCTCCACTATTGCTTAGATTGTTAGTTGGGGTCAACCTTGTAGATCTCTGGACATTTCCCTAGTGCCAGATTTCCCTTTAAACCTATACTGGCTCCCTCTGTTATTGTATCTCTTTGCTTGATCTCCTTTATTCTTGCCCCTACTCAATCTTCCTGCTCCCTCATGTCTTCCCCCCCTTTTCCCCTTCTCTATCTCCTAACTACCTCTCCCCTCCTCCCATGCTCCCAGTTTGCTCAGGGGATCTTGTCCCTTTCCCCTTCTTCAGGGGACCATGCTTGTCTCTCTCAGGGTCCTCCTTGTTTCCTAGCTTCTCTGGAGGTGTGGATTGTAGGCTGGTAATCCTTTACTCTATATCTAATATCCATATATGAGTGAGTACATACCATGTCTTTTTGACATGCACCATATTTCAATCATACATAATACACAAATTTTAAAACATGATGGGTTTCATTATGGCATTTATGTTTCCTTTATTTACCTGTCATACTCCATCTCCCACTCATATTTGTTTTATTTATCTATGTAACTGGAGTTTCTTCCCCCCACCCCAGGTCTGCCGCCCTTTCAGCCCCAAATAGGCACACTGATGCTATGTTAGTTATAAAACTGTTGGCTGATGGCTTGGGATTCTTATTGGCTAGGTCTCTCTTAATTATTAACCCATAACTAGTAATCTATGTATTTTCATGTGGCTTACTGGAGAATGTCCAGATCTGTTACTCCTTCTCTGCCTCTCTCCCCAGCATTCTCCTCGTCCTAGCCCCACCTATTTTCCTACCTCTACTGGCTATTGGCCAAACAGTGTTTTAGCCATCAACCAATAAAAGAAACATATATACAGAAGAACATCCCCCATCATATTTATTTATTTATTTATTTTAGACATGGTTTCACATATCCCAGGTTGGCTTCATTGTCCCTGTGTAGCTGAGGATGACCTTGAACATCTGATCCTCTGGCTCCACCGCCACACAGTGCTGGAATTATGGGCTGGCACCACCCACCATGCCTAGTTTTTGTGGGGCTAGGGCTTGTGCCCAGGGTTTTGACTGTGGCAGGCTAACACTGTAACATCTGAACTACACTCCCAGCCCCCTCCTCTCCTCTTCTCTTTTGAGACAGTCTTTGTGTAGTTCATGCTGGTTCATTAATGATTGTGTTTTTTCCATCTAAGAAAAGCCTCCAGTTAGTCTTCGGAAAACACTGGAAATACCAGTGGATATGTCAGAAACAACCACTATCCCCAGAGTGGTGGGGACATGAGTGTAGTCCCAGAGTGCCCAGGACCCTTCTCACCAGTGCTCTGCTCCCTGCAGTGTGGCTTCCTGTTGTGGTGCACCCCCCCCAGCCCGTCTAATGGGGCAGAGCTGCTCTACAGGCGCATCATCCGTCCTGTCTTCCTGAAGCATGAGTCCCAGGTAGACAGCGTGGTGAAGGACATGAAAGACAAAGCCAGAGAGACCGCAGATACCATCACTAAAGAAGGTAAGGCTTAGTGCAATGTGCACTACACATTGGTGCAATGTGTAGAGGAGCTGTGATGTCCCAGGCTCAAACAACAGGTTTATTATAGCCACCTTGTCCTCTGTTATGTCCTCTGCTTCTTTCTCAGTGACACATTTAGTGCAGCCTTCAGTCATCGGATTAGAAAAATGACTTGGCCACTGCAGGCAGATATTTTAGAGTATCTACAGTTAGGCAGACATCTATATAATTCAGTTCAGGTTGACTGTTGAGTATGACATTCTCATTGTTTCTACTGCTGGGTGTGAAGGTATATAACTACCACCTCAGCATCTGGGAGGCAGAAGATGGATGAGCAGTTTTTTAAAATAAGAGAAATCAGGAAATCATCGCCAAGATGGTTGTCCTAGTTTGGCTTCCGGTTGTGATGATAAAACCTTGGATCATAAATCAGTTTGGGGAAGGAAAAGGTTTGTTTCATCTTAACAGGTTACAGTCCATTGCTGAGGGACACCTAGGCAGGAGCTGGCTTCTGAAGTCAGGGAGGAACGCTGCTTGCTGGCTGGCTGGCTTCCAGGCCTGTGTTGAACTCGACCTTTCTTATACAACAGTGGGTGGGGCTCCCTTGCATCAGTTGGCAATCAAGAAAATACCCCAGAGACATGCCAATGGGCTAATCTGATGGGGGCAGTTCCACAGCTGGTTCCTCTTCCCTGGTGTGTCAGTTGAAAATCAAGATCAGCTGTCACAAAGGCTATCCCGAGTCAGACTTGAAAAAGTAACAGAGGGAACCCGAGGGTAGATTGTCCGGGAACTGCTTGTGACAAAGTTTGGCAGTGGAAGCAATAGAAGAAACAGGGAAGGGCGGCAGGAAACAGGGTCAGAGAGGTGGTCAGGGGGCAGATCAGGGGCTGGACTGAAGATGGAAGGATGTCAATGGTCTAGGTAGGGTGTTGTGATCTAGCTAGAGATGATAGCTTCGTGATTTGTAGTAGCAACACTAAATATGAGATTCTTGATTTTTATTTTTAAAGGTAGGAGCAGTAGGGTTTGTGTGTGAATTAGGCTAGGAGTTGGAGAGAGAAAGAAGCCAGACAAGCTTTGAGGTGGGAAGGCTGGGTAGTGGGAAGCAGAGTCCAGCCCTGGGGAGATGTCGGAAGTGTCTGTTAGATGCCTGCATGGAGCAGTCAGATGAAAGCCCCACTTCACACTGAGGGTGAAGCAGATGAAAGCACACCAGCAGCCAGGTGCACTGGCAGGGAGAAGCTGACGAGATTAGCAAGAACGCCAGAGAGTATGGTCAAGTGAGGTGACCATTATGCCACCTGCTGTCAGGGTTAGATAAGATGATGAAGACTAAGAGACAGCCATCAGACTTGGCAAGAAGGATGGAAATGACCTGAAGAAAACAACTATAGATACTGGGAAGGAACATGTGATTGAAGAGATTTGAGAGAATGGGACAATATCTACAAGGAGGAACCAGAGTCTCAGTCTTTAAAGACCTTTCTTGAGGTAGGAGGAGCAGTGAGTGGGGGCAGTCAGTAGACAGCAAGAGCTGACGGTGAGAGGGAGTGGGCTACCCACAGCCATGTCCTCAGCATCCCTCTGGCCATGCCACAGAGGGAATGCCCAGAGCTGGGACATTGTAAGAAGAAGGAAATGGAGGCTGGCGGTAGGGAAGCTGGTAGTGTAACTGGGACCTTTGGGAAGTGATTCCCTTATTTCAGATTTCTCAGGGAGTAGAAGAAAAGAGAGATGACAGTGGTGGGGTGTGGGTGGAGCAGGAAGAGGCAGGGTAGCTGTCCAGAAAGAGGCTGGCATATAAGGGGCATACAGTGAATATTTCAGGTGTCATGGGTCTTCAAATCTGCCTCAACTGCTCAGTTCTAGCTTTGCACCGTGAAAGCAGACCCCTAAAAGGATTTTAGAAACTGGGGAAAGTGGGGCTGGAGAGCTGGCTCTTTGGTTCACTGGATGGTTCAGATTCACAGGGTATTTCTCACGTGGGTAGTTGAGAAAGAAAGACTGTTTCCTTCCTTGTCAACTTTGCCTGGTGATTTTAAGTGGGGAACGGAAGGCAGCTGTCAGGAAGCTTGTAGACACAGGGATTCTTGGCTGTCATAAGGAGACTCTGGACTCCACCAGAAAAGCTGCCACTTGTGGAATCTCCCTGGAGTTTCCAGAAGACTCTGCCTCAGCTCCATCTCACCCCCAACTTCCTGTCCTGAGAGGAATAGTGGCACAGTGAGCAAGTCTCAATATTTACAGTGCTGGCGTGGTCCCTTCCTCTGACTCTGGTCACCATGACAACCTTTGCTGCTTTTGATGATTGAAGGAGCAGGACAGATAGTTCAGGTGATGATGTCATACAAGCATTAAGGCTAGGTGACTGACCTTTAAGAATTCTGCTTTGGCCTTAGGGATCTGTGCTCTACAGAGGCGCTTTGTCCATTTCCTGGAAGCCCTTTAGCCTTGACCACAAGCCTCAGTGTGTGCTCATCTGCACATGAGTCATCCACCTTAGTCACCCACATTGTCTAGTTGCCAGGGAGCTTACACTCTAAAAATCTTTTGATACAATTTTCTTTCCCCCTCAACAGTCAAGAAAGCTACGGTGAACTTACTGGGTGAAGAAAAGAAGAGCACCTGAGCCCTGGCTGGAAGCTCCCCATTCCACTTCCTTAGAGCCCCATGTTACGCTAGGGACAGTGGCATAGTCGTTGAATAATGTTGCCTTGGAAACGTTTTGATGTATTAAAAATGGAATGTGTTGTAAGCTGTTTTGCTTTTATTGTCATATATGTAGGGAGCGTTTTCATTTAAATCTAACACAGTGGACAATATCTAAAAATTTTTAAATATTTTGCTGAGTAGGAAGACATGTTACTACTTTCTAGGAAGTACAAACTGAGATAGGAAATCTGAGTCCGTAAGCCCTTTGCTCTGCGGGGCTCACCCTGCATGCATTTTCTTGTACTGACAACTAGGAACTCTTATGATTCTGCTGTATGTGGCGTATGATTTCATATAGTTCTGTGTTTTAGTGTATTTGTGCATACGTATAAATGTATATATATACACAGGAGAATGCTGTTTGGCTAGAACATGCATAGAGCTTGAGAGAGAGAGGCCAGGAGAAGGGTGTGTATGCCACCTGTAACCTGCTAAGGCTGAAGGTGCTGTTCTGATGGTGTAAGCTTCCAAGGAACATTGGAGAAAACCAGTGCCAGTGAGTTATACACAGACAAACACAGTAAGACACGATGCAGAAGGGAAGTTGGCTGTGTTTTGTTCTGAATATCAATGCTGAATGCCAGGACAGCCTGTTGAGTAGGTAGCCACACCAGTGATAAACAGGCAAATAAATGCACACACCAGTGGTCAACTCCTGTTCCCTTCAGAAACAGTAATGCCATCTCACCTGCTTTAGATCCGTCTGGTTTTGAGATGCTGAGATGTCAACCATTCCTGCTTTATCTTCAAAACTGGTAACAAGTTGCCCTAGTCCCTCTCCTTCCCATGTTCTTTAAGCCCAATTCAAGGCACCTCTGGTTTCAGTTTCTTCACAGTGATTCTGCAGGAAACACACTGCTACTTCCTGCGGTGGAAGTGGATGTTCGTGGGAGAAGTTCTGAATTGCCTTCTGCCTGCCTGTCCTCCCCAAATAAAATAGTGTTGAGAATGAATTGAGCCTGTGTCTGGCTGGAAGCAAAGCATCTATTTGCATCTGAGTGGATCTCAACTTACATGTAAACTTACAGAATTCCTACTAAACTTTCAGTGTTCCAAAGAGTTCTTGCAGCAATTATTTCCCTAATTCAGTCATTCAGGTCAGCATTACTGCTATTTTGGGAAAAGAGTCCTCTATCCATACCTGTAGAAAATGCTCATAGCTTTAAGTAAGTACCGCCTGTCCTCAAGATGTGATACACCAAATAGAAATTGCTGTGCTGCAGTCCCTTCTTCTGTGTTCCCAGACTCTTGGTTGCCTGAAACTGGAAGAGTACTGAACTCTGTTGGACTGTTTCCTGTGCATCTGTGACAATGTTTATTGATTGATCAAAGCAAGAATTAGGATAGAGAAGAATTATGGCAATACGCTATAATAAAGATTATGTTTATCTGGTCTCTCAAAGTATCTTAAGATGTTTTTATTACACTGTGTGTGTGTGTGTGTGTGTGTGTGTGTGTGTGTGTGCGCGCGCGCGTACAAGCCACAGTGCACTTGTAGAGGTCAGAGGTCAACTTGTAGAAGTTGGGGTCTCTCCTTCAACCATGTGGTGGGACCCAACTCAGGTTGTCTCTGGCCTCCGGATGTTTTGCAGTGCCATGCTGTGTTTCAGAGTGGCTGGTGTCTGAGAACTGAAACCTCAGATAAGGGGATGACAATAAGTAACCAGCCACATTTGGTGTTTGCTTGTCATGTTTACTTGAAATTTTGCTAAACTCTGGGTTAGGAAAAGAAAATTCCCACAAAATGAAATGAAATCTAATAGCTAAATGAGAATTGAATTTTACTAACTCCATTCCTCACTTGGTTTGTACTTTTCCTTTAGAGTCTGGTTTGTGAAAGGCTCCTGAAGAG